GCCTGTTTACACAGCGTTATTGCCTTACTGATACGCACAGCACTTGCAGGTTGGGTAACTGATCACAGACGGTTTGAGGAAGAGATGAGATTTGTGCTCCAGTTAAAGTCCTGTCAAAACACAAATCAGACATCGTTCTTTCAGTCTTGCTTTGCGCAGTGACCTATTTTGACTCGTTGAACAGGTCAGGCTCCCACGTGAGTGGGTGCTCCGGGGAAGGTTAAGAGACGGCTCGCGCACTTACAGACTCTCCAAGTTGGCAGTTCCAGTTAGGTCAGGAAATTCAGTGATTTGTGAAGCACCATTCAAAGTCCTAGGAGGAGGAACATGTATGTGTTACTGGGAGAAGATTCTAGAAAGAGGTAATTTAAATTGGTATTTTTAGAGTTCTTCAACAGGGAATATGCATTTGGTCTTCATACCAGTCACGCAGGGTGGGAGACGGGGGGAGAAATGTGCTCTATAGGACTTTATTTATTTTAATTTTTAATCTTTCATTGGTAGCAGGAATTGAACTCAAGGCCTTGCGTTTGCCACACAGGTGCTTGTGCTGAGCTACATCACTGGCTGTGCTCTGTAAGAAATACAGGTACTTACAGTGTTCTTAGTTCAGGTAAATGCTGAAAAGCAGATCTTCCAACAAATTGGATGGGGTTCTCATAAAAATGTCTGAAAAAAATCCCAAAACCAGTTTCTTAGTGCAGAACTTGAATGATGAATATCTGTTCAAATTTTCAATTAATACACTAAATATATTTATGTAATTTTGATTATACCACATTATATAACTTTTCTGATTATTTGGTTCCAGGAAAGCCTTGAAACTATTTTGATTCACATGATGAGGCTTTTGGTAAGAAACCCATACTATACAAAACTTAAAATTTCTAATTTTAAGGCAGATAGAAATAATAGTTTAGTAAAAAAGCAAGGAAACAAGGGGCTGGGGAGATGGCTCAGTAGACTAAGTACTTCCCTGGCAAACTCAAGGGCCTGAGTTCAATCCCCGGTCCCCCCCCCAAAAAAAAAAAATAAAAGCAGGGAAACTGACTACATCTAAAACCCTTTTCTGAGCCAGGTGTGATGACATGTGCCTGTAAGGAGGATCACCATGAGTTTGAGGCCAGCCTGTACTACATAGTGAGTTCAAGTCCAGCTGGTGAGCCTTTGACGTAAAAAAATCTTTTTTTTCTTCAAAGAGGTAATTTAAGGTGCTAGTAATTGCTATTATTAGAGACAATAGAATTAATTTACTGGAGGTTTTATCTTTCAGTCAAATATTGTATAATATCCACATGGGTCTTTTAAAATTATTTGAGAAGAAATGAGTTACTTGGAGTTTTGCCTCACATTAGAATGTCCTTGAATTAATTATTGCTCTAAAAGAGGAGATGGTGCTAGAATTTATAAACTATTTTATTTTGCAGATGATTTCAAGGTATGTGAAATGTATTTGAATTCAGCAGAGTCCCTCATGTACTTCTTTGCTGAACCATTCTGTTAATTTAATTAAATTTAACAAATTCATAGCTTTACTATGCACAAAATATGAAGGTAGGTATTGTGAGGATTTAATGACTTATTTATCAAACAAATGGTCACTGGATATCTACTTGGCCCTTGATGTTATTCTAGTTATTGGGGATGGGAATAGGAATGATAAAATGCTCTCACTCTAAAGGAGCTTGGAATCAGTTGGGATTAAACAAATATATGGCAGCACATTACCTCTGTTTGACAGAGCATGTCCATATTTCTGTATCTGTTTCAACCTGTCCATGCAGCAATTTTGACACATAGAGTAAAGATGTTTCCTTTACTTTTGGAAGAGAAAGTTGAGCTACCTTCAAAGGCTCATTGCCCCAGAGTTTGAATCTTTTTACTTGTTCAACTGAGATAATAATTCTTCTTTTTTTAAAAAAAATGCATTTAGTACAGGGTCTACAGGGTCTCACTACACAGATTGGACTCATAGTGATCCTCCTGTTTTCAGCCTCCCAAGTGCTGGGATTATAGGTGTGCGCTACCATGCCCAGTCTCAATCACCATCTCAGCATGACCCAGGGGCGGGGTCGGCAAGGCAGTCTGGGGATCGAACCCCAGCTGCTGCGCTCTGCCTAAGCAGGTGCTTTTAGTCTACTGAGCTATCTGGCTGACCCTTCAATAATTCTTAGTTGTAGGATTCATGTAAGAATTAAAACAGCTAGTACATGTGCAACATGTACCACAATTCCTAGAATACACCTCTGTACTCTCTGGTGTCTTACTCTTTGATCCTTTCTTTCCCCTTGAGATTAGACAGAGTAATCAAAAGAGCTGGAACTGGGTTATATGCTTTCTGATTTAAAAATGTGGTTTTCTTCATAATGTCACATTATCCTTTGGCTATAAAATATGCTTACAGGAATATAATTGTATTCATACACACTTACAAATGTATGTACCCTGGGCCAGTATGAATGCATGTACTTGCATGCATACGGGAGAAATATTGTCAGTACGAACAAGGAGTTCTGTGTCTGTCAGGAGAGAACTGCCTCATATGTTCAGGGAATATTAAGAAAAACCTCATGAAATGGCATTTAAAATGGACCCAGGAGACAGAATTTCAACCAGCATAGTAAGGGGACAGACTCACAGGAACAAAGGAAATAAACAGCTTCTTTCTATGCACATAGCTTAGTTGATCTGATGTAGGACCCTGTGGCAGTAGATGGAGACCAGCTTCCTCCACTGGAAAAACTGAGAAGTAATGGCTGGCAGAGAGGCAAGAAAAGAGGGTGTGGATAAGATAGGAAGTGCTGAGGTGACTGAGAAGACACCGAGGCATGAACGGAGGTGGTGGTAGGGCTAGGAAGGGACTGGTAACAACACGGTGGAGAGGAATGCAGGTACAAAGCGAGGAGAGTTCCAGAAAGAAAGTGGCCTGCACTACAGAATAGCAGATGGAAGCTCAAATATTTGTGAGGGGCCGTTAGCACTCCTCGGTACCTTTTAGCCAGTCAAGAGACTGATTAAAAAATAGGCCAGAGGCAGCAGGGAAGTGGAGCCAAGGTGATGCAATTTGCCAACCTCTTAATATACTAATGCTCTCTAATCATGAAGACCACTGTCTATCGGTCAGTACACTTCAAACCATTAGTTTGCCAAAATATTGCCACAGCACTTCCAAAATGATGAATGTTCTTGGTCATTCATTCACAACAAATGACACATGCTTCCAGAAAAGGTTTGGATCCACTGGCTCGGGAAAAACATGTGACAAGAAGCAACCCTAGAGTGACATTCAAAAGTTGTCCTTACTCTTCTGTGTATCTGATGCCTCTCACCACTGATCCTGGGCCAGTACTGTGGGGCAAATCTACCTTGGTTGGGTATATCGGCGTATTTTACCTGAGGCAACCTAATTAGTATGTATTTTATTTTCCTCTGTCTATCATCAATTTCTCTGTGTTAAACGTAAAAGAGATTTAGATCATATAACTTTTTGGGGGCCGGGGAGATGGCTCAGTAGAATAAGCGCTTCCCTGGCAAGCGCAAGGACCTGAGTTCAATCCCTGGTTCTGCAAAAACAAACAAACAAAGAAACACAAAAAGAACATATAACTTTTCTACAATGACATCCTAGTTTGTATAAATGTCACTCAAGATATGGCTTGGTGTGCAGAGATTTACCATAAAACAATATTCCCTCCACCCCACCCCATAGCAACTTAGGCAGGAGTCTATTATTTGCAAAGATCCCTCTTTGTAAAAGATGATTTATGTTTCTTGTATTCTTGAGTTGAAATCCTGAACGACAATGTGGGCTTTATAGTGATGATCTAAAATTCACTTTATTTCTTAGAGAACAAAGACAACTACAAGCATTTACAAACTCAATTGTAAAATGCAACAAGACACCTGAAAATACCAGGCATAGTGCAATATACACTGTAGACCCCCAAAATGTTTTAAACATATTTGTTCAGTGCTCAATGAAAACCTGCTAAATATCTCCATATGTGAGTCTCCGTGCAGATTAATACTATGACTCAGACAGAATTTAGGCAAATATCGAACATTCATTGCATTATATTTATAAGTGCAACCTACCCTAGGTATCAAGATGCACAAACCCAAAAACATTTTGGTTACTTACATTGTAATAAGAGAAGGGTTGCCTACAAATGCTTTCTCAGGTATTGACCTGATATTGTTGCTATGAAATCCTCTAGAAAGAGAGAAAAAAATGTATAGGAAATCATGTGTTGGTAAAGTTATTTATTAGCCCTTCCCACCCCCTACTGTGGCAATAATTAGCACCTCTAATTACCAGTGGACATTTGAGGATAAATCCTGCGGGGATTTGACTGACCTTATCAGATACAAAAGTTACATTTCTTGTTATATAGGTCTTGCTTTATCTTAGTCTTAACCATCCAGCAGAAAAGTATAAAAACGAAGTATAAAAAGTAAAGCCATATTAATACGTTGAGTTGTAAAAGGCTCAAGTCAACAACTTCTGACATTGCCAGTCTTACGGAAAACCCACTACTGTTATGGACTACTGGACTGTATTGGAATATTTTGCTGAATTCACATACCTACACTATTTAAATGACAATGGAATACCCTTCTCTGACAAAACTAAGAAAAAGAGGGGATACAAATGAAGGACCATTTTTATCTGTATATTCAAAATAGTTAGGATAGATATACAGCTGCATTCTCTTAATCCAATGAATAGAGAGATTTATTCTAATAGTGTGTGTGGACAGGATACCATGTCTGCATCTTGTACAATGAATAACCACTAAGATAACAATATGCAATGTATTAATTATTGAAACTGTGCTAGTAATCAGTTTTGAAACTATCTCATTGCTATTTGTTTCTCAATAAAATTATTAAAAAATAACTAGAGGACAAAATTAAATGCTTCTCTCTTTAAAACTTGGCTATCTCCATTGACTCCCAAGAATATGGACAAGGAACAGAGATTCTGTGGTTGTCCTTTGCAGAAATTTATGATCTAACATTATAAAAAGAAAATTCATATGTTAATATCCAATAGAGTCTGAGGAGTAGAAACTATCTTTGGAGAGAGGATTAGGACTGCTTCTTACCCCATTTGGAACCAGAAGAGAAAATCGACTTAAGTTGGAGTGGAGTAGAGATTTAAGTAATCTTCTTACGAGGACAGAATGTCCTGAGCCTGTAATAACAAACTGATTTTCATCTGTCAGGGTAAAGCTGTCTGAATGCACAGGACCAGAGCCCATGACCTCTGGGTCTTACATAGGCTGATGGCTCTATGAGATGGGTGGTGGTCTTTGGGCTGCCTGACCCAGTACAGTGAAGACCCTAGTAGGGCCATGGGTGGCATTTCCTGAGGCAGACTGCTGAAGGATCATTTCATATAAAGAAGCCTCCATGTCTACCTTCTTTGTTTTTTTTTTATGTATTTAGTATAGGGTCTACAGGGTCTCACTACACAGATCAGACCCATAGCGATCCTCCTGTTTTCAGCCTCTGAAGTGCTGGGATTACAGGTGCATGCGCCATCATACCAGTCTCAATTGCTGTCCCAGTGCACCCTGGGGGCAGGGCTGGCATGTCTGTCTTCTTTCGCTGTGTGTCTTATTTCTCACTGGCAGGGTAATAAGGTTCCAGGTTTATTTTTCTATGTAAGTGTAAGAACATGGCCTCTTTATGTTATTTATTCTGTTTAGATGCAAAGAAAAGCTAGTTAACTTTATCTTCTGTGATATATACATGTAATCTAATGGGCAAGAGTTAGCTTTCTTAGTAAACCTGTGTTTTTAAAAATTAAGTAAGGCTCATGCAGCATTTCAGGGATATTGTGAGTAATGAAAAGTATATGAAGGTATCTAGAATTATACAAAGCACATATAACTCTATTCATCCAGTTCTATGTTATGTAAGCTAGAAAAGTTGGGCTTTTTAGAAATGCTCAGCAATAGCTGAATTTAGTTATATTTCTACAATCTGCAAAATATATACACGTGAGGGGAATATGTATGCTTTAGAAAAAGATGCAAGAATATGACTTAGAGAAGTGTGAAGTATCTTTCAACATAGGTAGATGAGTAATCCATCATAAATTAAAACTGAGGGCTGGGAGATAGCTCAGCAGGCTAAGCACCTGCCAGGCAAGCACACAGACCCAGGTTTGATCCCCAGTACTGCATGCTATACAAGCCCTGAAACCATGCGCAGTGGTGCACATCTATAATCCCAGCACTGGGGAGGCTGAGACAGGAGGATCACTACAAGTCTGAACTGCATAGCGAGACCCTGTGTGAAAAGAACAAATTAAAACTGATATTCGCTGATGATCACCAGTTAAAGTATGTTTCAAGTGTACTTTTTAACCATTACTTACATAGGCTTTAAAAATTTTCCTATAAGTCACATTATGTACAACAATCACACATATGGTCAAAATACATTCACAAAGAGTAAAGTTCTTCTACTAAAACTGTCCTAACTACTTACAGTTCCTTAAGGTTCGAGAGTGTCCTGATCGCAATGGGAAATTCATCGAGGTTATTGTAATTTAAATCTCTGAAAATGAGTAAATAGTATTTTCAGTTAAAAACTCAAATATGTAAAGTATATGGTTAAAAACTCAAATGTATGAAGATAATATGCCATTCCAGCGGACCCATATCACCAGTAGAAGTCCTGCTTTCTCTTCTTTAGCAGAGGTTGTCCTGGCTTGCTTACTAACAGTCCCAAAGCCTTTGCATGAAAATGGCCTGCTCAGGAGAAATTTCAGAGTCCAAGTTCATTGGCCCTGGAGCATTTGAAACAGGGAGGGACGTGTAGTTAACTTCCACATGGGACGGAGGCTTGCTGGGGTGTTGACCATGAGCTGGCAGAGTTCTTCATCTGAATTTGGTTCACTATATTGCCAGCTTGTGCTTGCATGCTTAAGACTCCTGGATTACATCCCTATTCCTGTTCTCTCCTTCCCTTCTTGGAGATGCAATACTGTAGAGGGCTACACTATCCCTCACGCCTGTGGAGAACCCGTATTTCTCTCAGTCTGAAAGTTCCAGGATGAGA